ACGGCAAGGAACCAGCTTGATCAATCACACACTGGAAATACACTGATATTCCTCATATTCTGAAGAAAAGCTCAACACCAACGGTGTCAGGAACGACAAAGTGTGGGTCTCTGCTCAAAGCACATTTTGTATTTATTACTCTGAAACAAACATAGCAATAATTTCTTTTGTAATTTGCTCATCTAAGTATAGAGATTCAAAATTCTGTGGAATATCTTTTTTGCTTTGTTGATTCACATGAGGTTGTAAGAGATACTATGCAGATTCCCTTATCTCTCCAATCATTTCCCCCAATGAAGACATGTTGCCAAAGTCTACACCAACCTGACCAGGAAACTGGCCGAATACAGTCCCGGACCTAGTGCAGACTTCACCAGTTTCACATGCACTTGTGTGTGTGAGCTGCTCGCTCCTGTGTACCTGCTGTTTAGCTCCTTGCAACTGTACCCCACGTGTGACCACGTGGAGCATCTTTTTAATCAGTTTCTGTTTTTATTGTTTCATCCTGGCTTTTCTTTGGCAAACATGCATGTCTGTGCCTCTCACATTCTGCTTCTTTGTGGCTCTCTATTGCTTGGCCATCTCTTCTTTGAGTTTTACTGCCTTGTTGGGTTGAACTCTTTGCTAGCGGAGAGGTTTGTGTTTGGTTTGCTTTCTGCAGCACACTGACCCTTTCCCAGGAAAAGACACAAACATAAACAGACATTCCAGTGTTTCCAGCGTGCATTCACAGGGTTTTAAAGACACCAGCGAGAACAGATTAATATAAATACTAAGCTTAAAAACTGTCATAAAAATTCAGCCTTTAAAATTGGCTTATTAAAATATTTGTTTTTTTTAAAGCCCAGATTTAAACTAAAGTTATGAGTTACAGTGCTCTGCTCAGGAAGAGTTTACTTTATGGTCTTTTTTTCCAGGCAAAAGGCATCCAGCGTCTGTGCTGTCTAGAATACAGTGGGGCAAGGATGACAAAAACACAATTCTTTTAGCCTGAGACCAGTCTGAAAATAGGAGTTTCAGAAAACCTCAATGAAGTGCTATATCTCAAACAACCTCAGACAGCCCCAAAAAAGGCCTATTCCTGGCCACACGAGTAGCAAGACACCCTTTATGGGAGGTTGAAAGAGCAGCAGTGATATTTAAGGGGACAGATCCACACAACAGAGGTCAAATCGCTACATCTCATTTTACTGATGAGTGCTTTGTAAGAAAGCATTACTTATATTTCAGGTGGCTCAGTCTTCATTTTCCTTCTTTTAACCAATCCAAAGCTTTACTGGGATTCTACATTTCTATTCTCCTCCAGGAGGAATTAATTTTCTTTTGAAACCAGCTACATCCCGAATGTAGCAGTCAATGAACGCCTTCAAGAACTAGATTTTCTGGAGGAAAGAAAAGGCTGACACACACCACACATCAGAGGGCGAAGAAAGTCACATACTTTCTCCAAAGCAACTAAAAGTTCTCAGAAAGAAAAAAAGCTTGTTGAGCAACAGAACCCAGAGATAATCTGTGCGCACTTGACAAAGTTACAGAAGACGTAGGTCTCTCTAACTGCGTAGCAGAGAGCAGTATCTGTGGATAAGCAGTGGTCACCTTCCCCACACTCCAAGCCAGGTGGCTCAGAACCTGCTCTGAAGGCTCGAGCATCTGGTGGGAATACTTAAAACTCCCTGTGATACTGTGCCATTAGATGAATCCAGCTGACTGGCCAAAGACACCGGATTTATTGTCTAATTGTGTTTTTAAATATCAGGCCAAAAAAGAAAGGGTAGACATCGGCACCAGCACACTCTGCTATCTCCTGCATTTCTCTTCATGTCAAAGGACAATTTCAGCTTTTTTTTTGTTGTTGTTCCTATTAGTCTAAACTCATTTTTTTCATAATATGTAAAAGTACCTCATATTGGACATAAGAATCACATACAATTTACTGAGATGTGTGGGAAATTTTTGCTGATACATATAATTCATGCTTCTTAGAAATAATACAAATAAATAACAAATGCTACTTAGGAAATCAAACATTATCAGGAAATCAAACCTATTATGATTATATTTATGTGAATGGGGACTAATGAGTTAAAAACAAAAATAATACAAATACGTTTGCCTAACATGCCTGATGGATAAAAACAAGGGGTCCAGAATCATAGTGTATCAAAAATTTCCACATTTACCTTCTCTTCTTAGAGAGAATATGTCTAAGTGAGGAAACTGACTTATCTGAACCACCGAGTAATATTCAGGTCTATAAAAATAAGAATAAATAGGCCCCGTATATATCATTTGGTTCCCAACTGTGTTACCTATCATATTTTAAAAACATTTTCCCAAATAAGCTCTTAACAGTTTTCATTTACTTATTATGCGTAGCACATTTTATTTTTATATAATTTTTAATTATTGTCTATGGCTGATTCTCTACATTTTAAGAAGTGCAATTATTAGTATATGAGTTTTAAGCGTTTGGAAATATCTCCTGGTATTTGTGGTCTGTCATTTTCGGGAGGGGGGGGCAGTCTTAATAAATCTGTTGACATTTTCCTTAAACAAAGTTATATGTGTGTGTTTTAAAAGATGACATCCCTCATCTGCCTGTCCTTATTTCCGATGTAAACCATGTAAACTGCGGATGGTATAAAGTTTAAATGGAAGTAACTAATGGAAGCTCATAATTTAGACAGCAAAAACCAGAATTAACGTATTAGCCCACTGCAGCGTTTAGTCCGCAGCCAATCCAAACTTTCTGTCCTAGAGAAATACGTGATTGAGACATTTTCCATCTGTTTTTGACAAAGGCAGGAGAAGATTCTCACAAGTTAGTCTCTGCTAAAATTTATTTTTTAAAAACACTGTAAAATAGTCGCTATCTTTGGAGGCTATTGCATTAAAAGAATTTCCAGTGACACCAAAATAAAAGCTAAGAAACCAAAGCCCACCTGGGCTGCATCAGCCTTCTGCGGCTGTAGCAACAACATTCGCGGATATTACAGAACCACATAAAAAGAAATAGATACGTTTGGGGGAATGGGTGGCCGCGCGCTCTTGATTCATCTGAATTCCTTCTGTGTGAAGTAGAGGCTTTTGTAAAAACACAGAGAGATGTGGGAGAAACTAAAGCATACTGAATAAGAAGCATTTTTAACCCGGCCCCAGCAAAAACAATCTGGCGCCCTTCCCTTACCCTGGACCGCCGCGGAGGAGAGGCGCTCGCCGCGCGGGACCGGAGGGGAGGACGGCGCCTCCGCCGCCAGAGCGCGTCTGAAGGGACCTGGAAGGTGTCTGGTGAAAAGGAGCCGGTGCAGGACGCCCTAATGGCTCTTCCAGAGATGACCAGAACTCCGAGTGCCCTGGCAGCTGCGTCCTCCGCGCCTTCACCCCCACAGGGTCCGGCGCGCACCGTCTGCCTTCCCCACTGTTTCCCAGACTGGAACCCTCGAGCTCCCCCCACCCCCACGCAGGCTGGACGCCCGGACGCGGCGCGGCCCTCCTGGGCGCTCCAGGTTCAAGGCTGGGGCCTGAGGCTCCAGCTCCTAGGTCGGCTCCACCTGCCTGCGGGTAGCCCGGAGCTCCCAGAGGCTGTCTGTTCCCAGCCTCGGCGCCCTCGACCCGAGGCTCCCGGAGCCACAAGCGCGGCGTCCTCCGCGCTCGCCAGGCAAACCCGTGCGCCCTGGGCCAGCACCTCTATGCTCCCTGGTCCGGCCAGGGCCCCAACGACAGGGCACCCAAGACGGGGGCCGCAAATTTCCCGTATGAACAGCTGGGAGATCTAAGTGCCTGTTCGACAAACACGCTCTGCCTCTCCCAGGACGAGTGAGAAGCCAGGAGCCCGGCAAAGCCAGTCACGCAACTTCGCGGGCGGCCTCCGCTACCGGGGACGCAAAGGGCAACTGGTCTCCATCCCCCGGCCGGCCCCGTAAGATTTTTTCTGAGCCTACTCCCCCCACGGTCACCCACAGAGACCCCCATAGCACAGTGAATGGAAAATGCGACCTTTTGTGTAAGAAGCGCCTTCGGACCCTGCTGGGGAGTTTGCCTTGTCCACAAGTTCTCAGCTGCCACCCCTGCATGGGAGGGTAAAAATGTCCTCAGGGACGCCCTTGGGATACAGGAGCTTCCCGGCCGCCCCCAGTCCACGCCGCCACGGCCCGTGGGCCTCTGCGAAGAGAGTGGCGCAAACCCGGTCTCTCTGCGGTACTGGCCGCCCCATCCCGCCCCGCAACGGAGGGTGCCGGTCGCGCGCGCAGCACCTACCCTGGCGCGCCGGTCTGGAGGTGGGTGGCGCGGCGCTAGTGGGAGGCGGACATCGACCACGCGCCTTCCATGCGCCACACGGAGAAGGCGTAGCTGAGGCGCTCGTGGGCCACGTAGCTGCAGCTGGTCATCTTATTGTCCATCTCGTCGCTCTGCAGGACCTGGTAGAGGAAGTCAATGTACCTGGCGGCGAGCTTGAGCGTCTGGATCTTGCTGAGCTTGTCTGAGGGCAGCGTGGGGATGATCTTGCGCAGCGCGGCGAAGGCCTCGTTGAGCGACTGGGTGCGCTGGCGTTCGCGCACGTTGGCCAGGATGCGCTGGCTCTGCAGCTCCTCGAAGGACTGCGCGCTGGGGCTGCCCTTCTTGCCGCGCTTGCCCGGGGTCGGGCTGCCATCTTCGCTCGACTTCTTGCTGTAGCGCCGCTTCCGGCCGAAGCGCTTGGGCTGCCGCTCCAACTCCTCCTCACTGGTGCCCAGGCTGTCCACGGGGGACATGGGCGAGCTGGAGCCCTCCTCCATGGCGCCCGCCCGGCGCGCGTGGGGCTGGGGGCGCCGGGGCGCCGAGGGCGCAGCGCTGACCAAGCACAGCTCCCGGAGTTGCACGAAGGGCTCTGATTTCAAGGCCGGCTTGTGCAAAACCGAGGTCTCCGGGAGAGGAAGTTATTCTAACTTTTTTGGAAACTCTAGCCGGGCTGGGTTGCTAAATAGTTGTCAGGAGCGAGGGCGGCGCGCTGATTGGCCGCGATGGCCGGGGGCAGGACAAGTTCTGGGGCCTTCGCCGGCCGCCCCCGCCCCCGGCGCGGCACTTTCAGTTTGGCCTCCCCCTTCGGCCTGGGCCGCGGCCGGCACCCCGGAGGCCGGGACCTCGCCTGCCACCCACAACCGCAGCCCGATAGCTGGCCACGCTCTGGCCTCCTTGAGCCCCCGGCCGGTCGGAAGCCGGCTTTGTCTGCACCTTAACGGGGAGATTGGGCCCTTCCCGGCCGTGAGGTCTAAGGGTTCGAGAGGCCAGGCCGACCCCAGATGCGCTCCCTGGAGATGAGAACGCAGACGGTTGCATCCTGGGGCACCCGGACCTGTGTGTGCCTTGGCTGCCCCTGGGCACTCAGCAAGCCTGCACCGTGGCCCGCACACTCCAGCCTGGGATGGGTGGATCAGCGCTGGCAGCGCCCTCGGCGCCCCAATCTTAGGACACTTGGGGGTCCTGAAGACGCCGCCCCACGGCGCGCCGATGGGGTCAGTGGAGATGCCTCCCTCTTGGGCCAGTCTTCATGTCAGGGACTGTCTCATCCCGACTTGCTGGGAAGCGCCGGCACTGACGCCCTCCCGGAGCGTTCCTGCTAAGTGCTTTAAAATTTGAGCGCCATAGCCAGCGAGCCTCTGCGGGAGCGCCCAGTGGCCGCTGCACCCTCAAACCTGTCCCTGAAGGGTGCTGGGCGCCGCCTGGGACGCCCGTATGGCCCAACCTGTCCGGCCCCAGTCTCTGCGCTCCCCCTTCGCTTCGTGGGTCGGTAGTGGACGGCGGGAGCTGCACGGCACTGCCCAGCGCTGGCCTCTCCTGCACTGGGCGCCCGAGGGCAGCTCCGGGCCGGAGGGCTGCTGGGGCGCCGGAGCCGGGCCTGGTGGGCAGCACCGGGTCCCCGCGCCATCTGGATGCTGAGCGCTAGTGCGTTTGAAGTGGTTTGGGGGCTCTTTGTTCGCCAGGCCGCTCTGGCTGTGGGCCTGGAGGTGGTTTACGGCTTTGATGCCTTTGAACCTATTCCCAGGTGACCCGGGCTCAATTAGGCCCCAGCCTGCGCTGGGCTGTCAGGCAAACCTCGTGATCAAGGGCGGGCTGGGCCTTTTTATTGAAGTTGAACCGGGTCTGGAGCGCCGGGCCTCGGCTGCTCCTTGGGCCTGCTGGGCCGCGAGGTGGGGCCCGTGGACCACGACCACCGCCTTAGGAAACCTGAGGGCCGCGTGGGCCTTCTGCGCCCAGCGCCTAGGGCTCTGATTCTGGCCGCTCTTGGGGACGTTTTCCCTAACGGTCAAGGGAGGCTAATTCTGTGAAAAGCAGGCCCTTCCGCAGGCGTGACTACACAGCAGCCCTGGGAGAAGTTTCTTCCGGACCTTTGGGCTCCACAATCCCCTGAGTAAGGGCCCCTCCAGGGTCGCTGCGCCCAGTCCCACCCACCTAACTCTCTCCTTTCTCCTCCGGAAGCAGCAAAAATAGCTTTCCATATGCCTTTCTTTGAAATCCCACCTCCCCCAAAAATATATAAGGAAGGAAAAAGAGAGCAGCTGGGCCCCGGCTGTCCTGTAGGCACTGGGGCCTGTCTGGGTGGGTAGGAAGGACTGGCCTGCCGGGTAACTGGCCTTCCACTGACTGCTCTCCCCACAGCAGCAACAGCAGAGATTTGCTCATCTTTTGACCAGTTCCAGCCAGGCTTAACCAACCCGCTGATGTCTCCCCCTTCTCTAACCATGGACCCAGGACAGGGATCTGCCTTGTAGGCTGCTAGCCCCTCTGTCTCCCTCTGGGT